ATCTCCCAAAACAACAAACTATAGAAAGCCTCCATCTAGAATTAGAAGATAGTAAGGCAGATAACGAAACAATAGAAGAGAAATGTTATGAAATTTACGCAACTTTTCGAAAATCATTTAAAACTATGAAAATAAAAATTACATTATATATGTGTGTGTCAACCTTTAAATTGTAGATAAATATTTGTGGAGATTCATTTTTCATTGGATACAGTTAGTTGCATCAAGTTTAAAAAGAAAATGGAGATGAAGAAATTAGAAAAAAAAAAAAATAGGTTACAAAAAGAAGTGAGTGAGAAGTTGTACGGAGAGACAAAAAAGGGAGAAAGTATTCAAATAGATTTGGGGAAATTTTGATGAGATTATGAGATTTAATAAATTAATCTAAAAAACGCAATAACCTATACCTATGTTGTTTTTGTAGGACCACGTGAGTTCTCGATCTAACAATTTCTTGAATAATCGTTCCGTTTTAGGTATATTATTAAACTTTTGTTAATCTATACATCTTGATGCTTCTATGGATAACAACTTTTGTTTTTTGTTATGCTGTTTATGTTTTGAGAAAATCAACAGAAAATTCTCCATACCTGATAAACATTTTGATAATTTTTTTTTTAAAAAACAGAAAAACAGATATGTATGATAAATTTTTTAATTTTCTATTTTTAAAAAGATAGAAAATTATAAATATATATGAGAGAGATAAAATTATTTTATCGAGATGACAATGGTGAGGGGCAGCATTCAATATGCACTTTTCCCATTCTCGTGCTCGTAAAAATTTTTAATCAACGGTCTCCGCCACCGTCATTGGGGAAATGGAGATATAGTTTAAACAATCCTTATTGGAGGATGGGATATTTGCACAAAAAAATTGCTGGTCTTGTAATTAATTTTAATTAGGTTTATAATTAAAAAAAAGTGTAATAAATATATGTTAATTATTTTTAGAATTATTATTTAATAGTATAAATAAATAGTTTTAACAAGATTTAATATTTTATTCACAATTTAATGAATATGTTAATAAAATATATATTAATTATTTAAATAATGGAATTGGAGACGAGGTTAAGACATGCATTTTCTATAATTGAAGGGGGGAATTCGACTTTGCAGCAATTTTGTCATCTCTATTGTAGAGTCATCAAAATACAAGTTTAGATTAATGAAAATAAACTTTTTAAAGAAAAATTTTTGATAGATAAATAAAAAGATTTAGAAAAAAGAATTTGTGAAAAAAATACAGTTGAGATGAAAATATATGTTAAAACAAAATATATATATATATAACAATAATAATAAAAAATAAAAAATTATAGTGAAAAAATATTAGAGATAAAAATAAGATTCAAAAAATTGAATCTCATTTTTCAAATTTGTTTAAATTGTTTAATATATTTATATACCAGTGGTAGTTCCAAACTAAAAATTTAGTTAATCTAAAATAGTATTAATTAATTTATTAACATATATGCTATAAATTTTATGCTATTATTAGTTCACAATGTTATATAATTTATAAGATATTTCATATTTCATATTTAAACTTTAACAAAATGAAATTAGTTTATGATATGAAATAGTATATTTATCAAAAAGAAATTATCTTTTTAATGTAATTTTGCATTTTTTAAATTTCAAATTAAAAATAACACAATGAAAACATAAAACTTTAAAATCTTTTTTGTTTTTATTTTGTTTTCTTATTGTTATGCAACAAGAATCGATAGTCAAGCTACAGGTCACGATCGGAGGGGAGCCCACTAGGCCATGATGGGCTCGGTCCTGACCCGTGCTTGGCCCCGAGCCAGGCTCGGCCCACAGCTCTGCCAACAAATCCCCATCTTCGATCAAAGATTTCGCCCAGGCTCTGCAACTGTGAATTAGGGTTAGCTACAGAAAGTTCTGGAACTACTTCACAGCTATAAGTAGCGATCCAACCCTAGAGGTAAGGGCATCTAAAAGTTGACCACATTCACATTATTCTCTTGCTAACTTAGGCATCGGAGCCCATGTGACTGGAGTCACACTGGTTTAGTTCGATTTGGTTTTGCAGGTATTAGTCCTAAATCATCAAGTTTGGTGTGTGCGAGGAGGAGAACCGGAAGACCGAAATCCACGCATAAACAATTGGCACCGTCTGTGGGAACGATTTAAAGCATCCAGTCGAGCAACATGACACCAGAAAGGAGTCCACGACGCTCTGATGATAACTGCTCTGCCAAGAGGAGGTTGAACTTGGACGACCCCCAGGTCGAAGGATCCGAGGATGGGACCAGCCAGTCAAACCCGGAACGTCAGGAGGGGTTACCCGAGGCGCATGCAATAACGACCCCTGTGCCACTCCAAAAGCAGTTCGAGGTCTTGGAAAACAAGGTAGAGGGCATGTTGCAATGCATGACCCAAGTCCTTCGACAATTCGAGCAACAAGAGCCCGACGAGGTACCCCTTGTCAGAGACCCGAGAAATGGGAAGGGCACGACGCAAAGCGAGACTGAGGAATCAACAAATAGTGCAGGGAGCAAGTTGTGGATAGGTGGAAATACCAGGCGACGAACCTAGATTTTCGACTCCTTGAAGATCAAAAAGTAACATAAATACCCGACACCAAACGGGGGTAAGAGCAACCAGGATAACCGAAACTCTGAGCCGATAGGCCTCGATAAAGGCAAACCGACAGATCAGCCAGAGTCTTCAGAGAAGCGACAGAACCAAAAGGAGAAGGGTTTCGACCTCGAAGAACTACTGGATCAAGCTGACTCACCATTCACAGAGGAGATCATGAAAGAGAAGGTCCCTCCAAAATTCAAGCTACCCATAGTGAAACAATTCGACGGGATGACCGACCCAGTGGACCATCTAGATGCTTATTGGGAATGAATGGATATCTACGGGGTGTCAGAGGCGGTCAGGTGCGGGGTGTTCTGGACTACATTAAACGGGTCAGCCAGAATATGGTTCCGACAATTAAAACGAGGGTCAATCTCGAGTTTCAAAAGCCTGGCTAGAGCATTCGTGACCCAGTTTGTAGGGGGACGGTGTTGGAGCCGACTCGTGGCTTATCTTTTAACTATTAAACAGAGGATGACAGAGAGTCTACACTATTATGTAGCTCGGTTCAACGAGGAAAAGCTGCAGGTAGAAGGCCTTACAGACGCTGTATCTCTACTGGCCTTCATGTCCGGCGTCAGGGATGAGCATTTGTCATT